GCTGTGCTGACCTGCTGTGTGCTGTCTGCATTGAAGCTCCCTCTTTGCTGAGCAATTTCTCAGCTCCATCAGAGCCCCATCTCCAGGTGTTCCATCTCTGTGCCTGTTGCTGCTCCTTCTCACTCTCAGCTTCTCCCTCTCCCCAGCCCTGGCTGTGATAAACCTCCACTTTTAAACCTCAACACTCAAACCCCTTTGAGACAACACAGAGATGATGGGGCCTGCTGTGCTTGTTTGCTTCACAGCCTTTCAGAGGCAGCTCCAAGTACAATGAAGCTCCAGAATAAATCCCACTGAACAGGAACACTTTCATAAATAACTTAAGCTATATAGCTTGCAAGTCCTCGTATATTTCTTCATCTCCACAGCCAAAAACATGTGTTTTGTGTTGCTTCACATAAATCTCTCAGTATTTATCCTCATAGACTCTTCTATAAATTGCTCACTAGGCTTCAAAACACAGCAAGCAGGCTCTTTGATGTGTGTCTCAAACACCAGGTGAATCAATCACTTCTGCGTACACCTTGTTTGCTCCCACGCAGGGAGAAGTTACCGGTCCCCTTTGCCAGAAAAAAGGGCAAGAAGTCAAATGGTTTTGATGGATGGATAAACGTCTGTGGGCTGACCCTCCTGCACAGAGCTTGTTTATACTGCAACTTAGCAGTACTCCCTCCTCCTGATAGCTGATAAAATATTCCATCTCTCCTTATGAAATACACTCCAGACCAAGAGACTGCACATGAATATTTGATCTCTTTGTAAGCTCCTTTTCCACTATTGCACTTCCCCCACGGTGACACTATTGCACTTCCCCCATGGTGATACTTCTCTTACAGGATTAAGCAGAGAACCATTCCTGTCCTGTGGCACCAAGCGGGTGCACCAGTCCTGTTACAGGCCCACTATGCAGGGGTGGATTTCACTCAGCACCATTGCAGCACAGCTTGTAGCATTTACTCTGTGAGCAATTCATGTTAATTCAGGTTACAGCTTAGGTGAATAACCTTCCTTATTAAGAGCCACCATTGGATTTCTCAAGGGATGTGCAGGCAGAAAGGATGCATCACCCTGGGCTGAGCTAGGCTGACCTGCTGTGTGCTGTCTGCATCGAAGCTCCCTGCCCCTACTTCCCCATGCAAAATGGAGATGAGTCAGTGCAATAGGAAAACTAGGAGCCTCTCCTTTGTATTGACACAGTGCTCCTGTTGGCAACATCATCAGCTCTCAGCACTGAGAACCAGCCTGCACACCCTGCACATTGTAGCATGGCTGCCATTGATCCCAATGTGACAGCTCATCAATGATTTGTAGGGGAAGACAAGGGGATGGAGAAGTTGGAAAATGGGAACTGCAGCCTGAGGCAGCTTGGTGCTTGGTGTGTCACACCAGTGGTGTGACAAGTCCAGTGGTGGGGAAGGAGCTGGCTGGTTTGGGGAGCTCCAGTCTTTGTTCAGGGGTCCCAAGAGCAGCTGAGCTGCTGATCCAGAAAAAATACACGTGATTGATTTCATCCGTTCTTCTGCTATACAGCAACAGGCTGCTCTGGAGTTCCCCATGGGTAGTCTTTCTGCCCCTGCACCACTCCTGTGCTATCCCTGGGCTCTGCGCCTCCTTTTAACCTGTGATGTGGGGGCTGGACTGCTTTTGCTACAATCTGCTTCTTTATGGTGGAGGTTCCTGCATGTGTAAGCTGCATGTATGGTTCACATTACCAAGCTAAGATCTCCTGTCATCACCTGAGAGCCCAGGTCAGGCTCCAAGGCTTGAGTCCTGCCTGCGGGGAGCATCCCATTGGCATGAGCACCACATCCCTGCCAGGGCTCTACATGCACTGCAGTGTTTTCCACCCACTCCTGCTTCAGCCCTCATACCATTCACTCTGCTACCAGCAAATAAATGTCATGGGCAGCTGAGAAGCAGTGAGAACAGAGGCAATCATTGTGGTGGGGTTTAGCATCATCTTGATCCCAGTCTGATCTCTCCTGATATCTTCTCTCCTTGCTGAATTCCTGCTTTAGCTCTGCTGTCATCCTATTGAAGAGCATGAGTTTAAATCAATCATGCAATTAAAAGTAATACTACTAATAACAGTGAACAGAGGGGGAAGGGTTCCACTTGGGGATTTTCTTATCTCTGGGTTTTGAGTTTCCCTTTTTTCAACTTAATGAGCTGGGAATATGTTTTCACTGGGGCTTGCATAAGGGGTACAACATTAGTCCACTGCTGGGAAAGCCTCAGAGACAAGAGTCAGACAGGCAATCATACAGGAGAACGGGCCTCGTGCTGACATGTAGGGATATCTTGTTCTGATGAGAGCAGCTAACTTGGCCTTGCAGGGAGCCTTGAAGGTGTCACAGGACTAGCAGCCCCACCGCACCCTACATAAACTGTTATGGACTGGTGCCGGCCTCAGCTCTGGGATCTTCCAATCCTCCCAGTTTCCACGGGATCCATGTGGCGTCTATCACACTCTTCTTACTCAGATAGTAAAACTTTATGGCATCTTTCATCATCGCCTTGCAGAGGGCTGGCTGCAGCCTGCAATTTGCAGGGAGCAGCCAGGCTGGCGGTGGGGTCCTGCTGTCCCCTGCCGGCAGCCCCACATGGTTGTGACACCATCAGGATGGCAGCAGGCCCAGTGGACCGCAGGCAGACCACCTCATCACATCAGGCCAGGGCGATGCTCAGAGAAACCAGACAGAAACCTTCTCTGATTCCCACCAGGGCTGAATGTTTGAAGTTACAGCACTTAATGTTCTTTCACAGGGCGAGGCGTGTGCCGCTAATGGCAGACACAGCACAGTGGCCATGGTAGCCATACTACTACAATGTGACTAAAATGAAGTGCAAGGAAGGGAAGGATGAAAATTGGGACTAGCACTGCTATGAAACAGTAACATGGTATAAAATCCTCTCAGCTATAACTATACATCATTGGAAGTAGCCAGTAAATGTGAATCCTGGCTGGCAGCCAGAATGCAAATGGCAAGGCTGTATGCACGGAAATTTGCTTAATGTGCAGTGGAGACCACTGCTATCAAGGCTTCCAGAACAGGCTGTGCTGGCGCATAGGTTTTGCAGTGTTGGTTACAGGCTGTTAAACTCCTGTAGATCATAAATTCTCATTCTTTTTTAACTGCATAAATTCACTCTGAAAGTCCTCACAGAAACACACAGAAGTGGCTCATAGCTTCACTAGTAGCTTCACAGCTCCCCAGTTGAAAGGAGGCAGAACGAGAGGAGATCCCTCTACCAAGAAAGGTCACGTTTATATGACATTACTTCATAGGAGCACTAACCAAAAAGCTCCTAAATGGAAGGAAATACTGGTAGTGTTGTCACTGAGGATGCCTGTCCTGCTCACACCATACCTTCCCTCCAGGTAAGGGACAAGAACTCTCAGCAAGTCAGGTGGTATCCCACTCAGATGCTGGAAAATGGCTAGGAGAATGCGGGAGGGAGACAGGGGTTTTAAATCATTAATGTGTTAAGTTGCCTTTCCCAGATGGACTATGTTTCTCCATCACCACCCCCACCCACTAATTTACTTTTATTTTAAACCCTGGGGCTTGTTGCTGGCAAGAAAGGAAACTTTGCAGTCAAGGGCAGCCAGAAAAAGTCATTTAATTTCTGGTTGAGAACTCACTGCAGTTGGATGTGAGCCCCAGGGTGACCCAGCGGTGCTTTACCACAATGCTGGTGTGGGGACCATGTTGTGAGGCAGGGGACAATGAGGGTGGGCACAGACCCCACTCTTCAGAGACAGGAACTGAAGACAGCTCTCAGGACAGCAGCTTCTTCAAGGCTGGGCTAGTGGCTCTCAGCAGTCCTGAAATTCCTACTCCTTTCCTTTGGCATATGTACTTATTTTTCAGCTTTCACGCTTCTAAAGAAACACCTGAAATTCAACACATCAAGGTTAAAAAAAAAAGAAAAAAAAGATAGCGAAGAAAAATGTATCCAGACAGTTTGCAGACTTGGGGTTCTTCAGTCAGTGCAGTAATTTCTGGAGCCATTGGCCAGAGGAGCGCAGATGCCATTCCTGCAGTATGCCAGTGGCAGTGGGCAGGGAGAAGGACACCAGTGGAATCTGCTCCCCTTGGGGGCTCTTCTGCTGGTGTGTACTGGTTTGTCCATCCCTCTTGAGAAGGAATTGTAGGCTCACAGCTGAGTCACCAGCTGTGGAGATCCTAAATCCCTGTTTCTTCCAAAAATATGCTGTGGGGCAGGTGACAGAGAGGGAAACCCATATGTGCGGGGTCTGTGCTGAGCCCACACTGGCAGGAGGCACAGTGAGGGTAGGAGCCATGGCGATTTGCCCAGCAGATGAGATCACTGCCTTGTGAGTCGCAGCCTGGTGGGCACCAGTGTGTGCACAGGTCTCCTGTTATGCTTTGGGAGCAGAGGCTGTGCCCACCCAGGCAGTAGGTTGGGACCGGTGACCCCTGTGAGATGAGGTGTGTTCAGTGGGATGTGGGGTCGTGAGTAGGTGCACACTGCCCTATCTCAGCCTTCATTGTAGTGAGAGCTGCCCCTCCTCAGAAGCACTGTGTCCCAGAGAGACAGGCCAAGGATCCTGATGCTGTCTGCCAAAGCCAACACAAATAGGCCAGAATGCATACACATAGCCCTCCTCCTCTGACACCACTCCACGTGCCAGTGGGACCCCAGTGCAAATGGCTGTGGTGCCACTGAAAGGCTGGGGAGTCCAGGAGCCCCGCCATCTACCAGGAGACTTCTGCTTCCTTGCCAAAAGCAAGCATCATCCTCCTCACAAATGGTTAACCTGCAGGGAGCCGCACAGCACTAATGACTTCACATGCATTTAATCAGCTTGGGCTTACAGAGCTGCTGCCTTGGAGCAGGAAAGCCACGCGTGCACCCCAGTTGCAAGGCTGCAAATGCTCCCAAAGCCGCACCCCCCCTTACCAATCATTAATCATCATCGGGAGGGCGGGTGAGGGGGAAAAGGCCAAGTGTCTCCAACCCTGAGGCAGTGCTGACTGGTTCCCTGCAGTGGCAGCTTGTTCTGCCCCTGTGGAGGTAGCCAGTCCTTTGGGAAGGTCACCAGGACCTGCACACAAGAGGCTCAGCCTGCAGCTGGAGGTCTGAATACAGAGCCTCTTCTTAGCTGGCATCACCTCCATCATCTTCACCATGCGGCAGGAAGCATTCTGGAGTGCCTTGGAGTACACCTGCCGATTGTTGGGCATCACCACTGCAGCAGGTAAGAGAGACCTCCCTTTCTTTGCTACTAAAAGCATAGGGGTGGGGGCTCTTGAGCTGTTTCTAAGGCTTTGGCCAGGTCTAGCCACTGTTACATGCTGCAAGGGGGGTGAGGGAATTTGCTCCTTTTTGCTTTGAGACACATCAAAGGAAAGAGCTGGGTGCATGGGCTGTTTGTATAAGACAAAACAAAGTGCAGGTGGAAAAGAAAGCCAAGTTATTTTCTTGTAAAAACGCAGAGGAACAAGCATAGTGTGAGTGGGACTGAAAAGCAAAACACTCAGGACAGCACAAAACTGTTGGGCTGCCATGGTGGTGCAACGTCTCATTCACTCAGAGTTGGGCTGTAGTGGACATCCCTGTCCCACAGCACAGCTCTAGGTGGGATAAATAGCCAGGGCAGGGGCAGTAAGCTCAGATATTCACTCTGGTACTGCTGCTGACTCTCTCTCATGGGGGAGGGCAGGTAGAATTCTGCCTCAGTTTCTCCATCAGCAAAGCAGAGATCAAAAGGCTTAGCTTGCCTCATGGCTGGAGGTGTGAACAGAGGTTCCTGATGAGAAGTGTCTCAGGTGCCTGTGTCAGACTCCAGGAATTTTGGATTTCAGACATCGCTTGGTAGGTCACAGCAGGCCCTCCCACCCTGGCTTTTCCTTTATCAACTGCAGACACTTTGCTCAAGTCAGGGACGAAGCAGAAAGCACAAAGGTCAGCTGGAGAGCACACAGGTCCCCAAGGACACCCGGAGCCCTGCTGGGACAATGGAGGCTATGCTCCACAGTGTACTTTATAGACTGATAAAGTGCAGAGGTTCAAGTCATTGAGTTTGTACAAACTCCCCAGCACATCGTATTGAGATTGCAACAGGCAGGAGCTGGCACACTGCTTTAACTAGTAAAAGCAAATCTGTCTGTTCCCATCCTCCTTAGGCCCACATGAGCCTACGCTGATCATATTCACCCTTAAAGCTCCAAACTCACACAGATATTATTGGGTGAAAACATGGTCTTGTTGCAGGAAAACTAAAGCTAGAACAGTAAAAATGAATGCGTAGCTTACAGTTTGGAAGAGTCTCAATGGAATATAATCTCTCTTGATTGTTTGCTATTGTCCACACTCTGCATCATCCATACCCCTTCCCATAGCTCTTTTGGAAACCAGCAGTGCAGTACCCTCAGCTGAGCAGCTGCAGAGTACAGACAGCTGCACTGCCAGTCTCTGTACTTTTCCATATCTCCGCTCTGATGCCTTCCTACTATCAACTGGTTTTCCCAAAAGGACAGTGAAGGAATGGGAGGTGCCCATGCTTTATTCTTTTGTGTGTCTCAATGGGGTAAGAAAACAGCTTGATGCAGCGCTTAGTGCCTGATGAGGTGTATGAGGTTTTCACATGAAATGGAAACCACGCAGAAAGGAATCCCACAGGCTTTGGTTGAATAAGAATAATGAAAGGGAGAGGAGAGTGCATCAGCCTCACTAATTGATCCTGAGGAGGTCTGGCCAACTCCATAGGCTTGCAAACACAAAAGACTGCCCACAAAACGTAACTCTTCCTTCCCCCAGGACCTTGGTGTGCAATGGGGCTTCTTGTGCAGGAAATATCCTGTTGTCCATTGCTCGTCAGTGAGGAGCAATCAAACCATCCCACAGATGACCTCTGTGTTGGGGGTATCTCCGTAAATTGGAGATTTTAGGCCTCGTGATTTCTGCATCCAGAGAGTCTTTACTTTTTTCTTAATTCTCATGCTTTCAACCATTTAATTCCTAATCATGTGCCTTTAACCACATGATTTGGAGAAGATCCAAATCAAGGCAGCAACAAGCCCAAACAAACACTTCAGAAACAACCCTTTGCTTTTTGTAGATACTTCACCCAAACAGCTTTGCAGATAAAGCAGAAGCCGTGCAAAATCAGAAAAATTCCCCAGGCAAAGCAGAGTCTAGAGCTGTTGAATTCTGCATTTGTCTGTGGGGAATGACTGAATGGATGAATTCTGACTTTGTATAAAAAAGTGTTAAGAAAGTTGCTTTATCACAGGATAATGAAGGACAATTCCTTGTGTGTAGGACTGCACAGCTTGGTCTCTTCACAGCCCTCTGATGACAGTGATATTCCCTGTCTTTGCTTGGGTGTGGAGAGACAGGACGTGGGCCCCATATGTTCCCCTGGAGCCAGGAGGGGCCAGTAGAGGAGATCAGCAGCTGCAGGTGACACAGCAAGAACCAACAAAACCACAGCGTCCAGATGGGTCTTGGCTTGGCTGGATCAGCACAGCATGCTCAGGCACAGACTCACAGTAGTGGCCCACCTCATGGCCATGGTGGGCTAGAGCTTGGCTCCCTGCTTGTGAGCCTGGTACCCTACCTCTGGGTGGGGCACAGCCACAGCTCAGGTAATGTAATCCAAAATCTGGAAAAATACTCTAACTTCAGTGTGGTGTTAGAGTAACCACAGCCTACTGGCACCTCATGTCTTGGCCAGTGTGCGCTGAACAAGCTCCCTGCAGCTGGTGCAAAACACTTTGTTTTTGTGCTATTTTGGAAATACCCTTGAGGGATGTTGAAGGAAAGTTTGCATGCCATAAAGCTATTGGCTCCCAACGACCAGTCCTGGAAGGACTTTAGCCTTGCTAATACTCTTAATCCCCCTTAAACTGACTCCCCAGTGTGCTGTGCTGGCTTGTGTTCTGGGTGGATGTTCATTCCTTGTTTTTAATCTGCCTGCTCCTCTTACAGGTTTTTGTGTTTGGCTAGCAAAGAATTTTAATGCCATGGCTACAGCCCTACCTGAATGCAACTGGCACAGTTCACCTATCCTGCCTCTGCCCTCCAGCCACATGTGGGGTGCAGCAGAGCTGGTGGGCATGGAGAGGATCAGAGCAGAGAGGCCTCATCAGAGGCTCACAGATGTGTGGGATGAGGCAGGAGCAGATGGGGAAGTGCGACTGAAGTCTCTGCAGCAGTAGAGGGTGGGAAAGACATTGGACAGACACCATTGCTTATCTCTGTCCAAGGCTGTTATTCTCCGAGCACATCTTCCCAGGCCATGCAGCAGCAAGGCTGCCTGCTGGTATATTGCTGTGTTTGGTTCATGAGCTGTACATCAAGGCCAGCACTCAGCTCTGATTTCAGGATTCCTGTGTCAGCTTGAGTCACCAAAGATACAGAGCAGAAGCAGATGCACCAACAGCCATAGACATCAGGGCATGGATGCTGGGAGCTGGTGGGACACCAGAGAATCACAAACTGAGCCAGCAGTCAACACCTTTGCTGCCTTCCCTTTCTAGTGCTGATCGGCGTGGGTGTAGAAACTCTACAGCGAGGGCAGTTCAAAAGCCTGGCTTTCTACCTGCTGTGAGTATTTTTACCCTTGCACTCAGAGCTAGTAGAGGTGGCACAGTTGATTCCTCCACCAAATATAGCACCAAACTAGCCTGCAACAGAAGCAGGAAACAGTATTAAAGGCTTTGGGGAATTGAGAACTCTCTCATTAGGCTTCCAATGAGTAAGTTGATCCTGTTAGTGAGAACGACCCTCTCCTCATGCTAATGTAGATTCAGGCAGGCCAGAAGTGACACTGGCCGCAAGTTAGCCCTCCATGGGTGGAAGGTCTTGAGCTTTCCTCCATAAACCAGCCAGGTAGAGAGTGTTCAGACCCTAGCAAACTGTCTTTGTTGTGACTGGAACAGTAAATCCCAGCCCTCTACACCCCTTCTTCTATCTGCAGAGCCCAGCCCTGCCTCCCTGACAACTCCACCTTTCAGTTTTTCAGGTATTGCAGTTACTGTCTGTGAAGGCTTCTTCTTTCTCAGTTTGTTCCTGGAGATGTGCTTCACGTGAGTAGATCCTGTCCAGTCTTTCTCAACACTTGTGCAACTTGCCCAGGGCAACCTGTCACTTCCATCAGACCTGTCAAAGATGCAACTGCCACACCAAAGGTCCTGCCCCTACTGCCATGGCAGTAGTGCAGCAGGGAGATAAGTGGAGTCATGTCCACACCTAATTAAACACGTTTTAACCCAAGTTTGTGCCATAATCTGCTAAGCATCAGTATGACAAACCCTAGTCTGCAGCATCCCCTTAGCACATGGTACAAAGTCATACAAGGGCCCAGCAGAAGTTTGAGTTAAAATGTAGAAAATCCTTACACTCTTCTGCTGACTTTCAGCATAAGCTCAAAATCTCCAATTGCTAGGAGGCAACACCTTAATCCAAATAGTAGGTATAAACATGCCAAGAAGAGGTCACATATGATGCTGACTTATTACTTCTGCCCACCACACTCAGGGCTCAGACTTCATTTAGCTTCCCTAACCAAAACACCAGTTTTTCTTGGCAAACTAGACTGAGAGTCTGAACCTTTAGATAGGTCATGGTTAGGTCCAAACCCCCTCAGCATGCACTTGGTGTACAAGGACTTCTGTTTCTCTCTCCAGATATGAGCCCGACTCTTTGGCGCATTCCTGCTGGAAGCAAGCCAGACGCCCAGGGAGTTTCCAGAAATTCCTGGGGTACACTCTGCTCTCAGTGGCTTGCTTCTTGCATCCCGTCATCGTTTGGCATGTCACCATACCTGGTGAGGAGCCTGAGTTGGGGTGGGGAGTAGTGCAAATGAAAGACGAATATGGTCTGTTGGGAACAACGGACTGATAGACCCACAGATGGTGAGGATGTGTGCAGTGCTGAGTTAACTGGACCAAACACTTATTGGCTAGCACTTCACCTTGGGCCAACGCTCAACCAATATATCCTTCTCTCCAGGGTCCATGCTTGTTCTCACTGCCTTGGCCTACTTCCTGCTGAGCAAGAGGAGAAAGACCTCAGGGCACAAAGACGCGCATCCTGAGGCAGGCCAGTACGTGGACCCTTCAGCTACTATGGCAGCCCCAACCATTGCTGGTGACACTGAGCAGACCTACACCTTCCATGAGGCCCAGAGGGAGCAGCACTGCTCACTGCTGGGCCACATGAAGAGCATCCTGAAGGGCAGCAAGGACAGAAGTCTGACCCATCCAGCTGCACTCCAACCGGAGGTCCCACCAGCCCCACGCAAGCAAGTGCACTTCCAGGAGAAGGTGGTGCAAATCATCCCTTCTGTCAGTGAAAGCCTGGATGATGTGGAAAGTGAGACTGAAGAAACCACATCAGATACAGCACCCATCCTCACCCCTCCTGATACCCCTGTCGTCCTCACACCCCTCAGTCCCACAGGACTGTTTTGAGGACTCACCAGCAACAAGGATAAGGCAGGCACACTTGTACTTGAGTTCCTCTCTGAGATTCAGGCAGCTGATGGACCTTGTGCCATGGGCAGCGCTGCCACAATGACTAGAGTATCACAGCTTCCTCTGCACTTGCTATGATCCTGGCAGGTCAGCAGGAAATCCCACAGGCCAACCCCACAGCTAGCAAGGAGGATGAGGGATGGAATGTGTGTCACCCATGCCCCAGTGTGGAGGAGTGGCCCTTCTTGCCCTCCCTACCCTGGCTGGTTCACCTGTTAAGCAGGGACTGCATGTACAGATCAGGACTGCAGAGCTGGTGACAGGGACTGTGGTGGTCTGCAGCCCTACAACACCATGCCCAGGGGACAGGCCATGGATTGACCAGCCCATTGGAAAAACAGTAAGGTTTCTCCTCCTGGGAATTTCTCTCTATGGCTTCATTCATCATCTATTACAGAATGACATGCCACAGCAGCAGCTTCTGCCTAACATCACAGCCATGGCATTTGCTTCCTATGAGGCAGTAAGAGGCAGGAAGAGTGCTACCACCATCCATCAAGCAGCCCCTGTTGGGAACAGTTGTCTTCTGACTGTCCTTGTTGTGCCTGGAATAGCTCATGGAAGCTTGGAGTTATCAAGCACTCTTCTGGAGCTAGCTCTTACTAAATGTTCTGCTTTGAGACATACTCTGGGCCCGGCAGGGGAGTTACGTCACTGTGGGAGCAGGGAGGACCCTAGGGAGCCTTCTGCAGTTAGAAGAGCTTTGGAATGCCATAGCACCTCAAGTTCCAAGGTTCATCACTGCACTGGCTGGCTCATCAGACTGTGTTAAATACGGCCCCCAGAGGGCAAAGGCAATAATAAAGTTACAATGCTCCCCCACTGGCCCTCTCCAATCCCTGAAGTATTCACCTTTGCCTTAATCCTACTGTATCCTCTGCTCTTTGAGGACCATTTACCTATAATACAGTATTTCTTTCCTGCTCAATCCCTCAGGCAGGATTTGTAACCTCTTTGAGGTTCTACCAGAGCAGTACAGGGCAGATAGCTCAAGACTCTTTTCTCTGCTCCCGGATCCATTAGCAAAGGGACCTACAGCTCAGCCTGTGCCTGCACATGCTATCAGCAAGACACTCTCATCAGCACCAGGCAACTCTTGTGGCTGCACATGGGAAGGAGTAGTTTGCTTGGACACTGAACATGAGTGCTGGAGTGGGGGACGGTGAAGGACAGAAAACCCTTGAGATCTGCTTAGGCTGATAATAATACAGAAGTCAGTGTGGGCTTTTTTTTTTTTTTTTTTTTTTAAATTCGTTGCTTCATTTTAAATATTCATCTCTCTGAGACACAATCACCACAATTGCCATTTAGGAAAGTGATGTATTTTGAAGGGAAATGGGAAAATGTGAAGAGTAAATGTTCAAAAAGCAAAAGGAAAGTGATGAGAACTCAGTGCAACTTTTTAATAAACTCTGATTAAGTTGTTCCTGTTATGGGAGATAGGTGGGGAAGAAGGCAGAAGATATTGACTCACAGTGGTTGACTGCCTGTGTTGGCTAGTGAAACCGTCCTCAGGAGGGGCTTAAAGTTGGTCTCACACACTCAGTCTTTCCTACAACTAGACATGAACAAAAAAAGCTTGTTCTGTCACTGATGTTTGAAATGATAACTGCTATTTATCTACTCTATACACAATGCAGAGATTACAGACCTCTTTCTTCCAGTTGCCCAAATTAAACCTCTGCTCCAAAATAGCATGCTAGAGAAGAGTCACATAGATATCTGACTTTAGGAAGAGTTAGTTTCCTCCTACACCTCCAGAACTGTATTCAGAAAATTGAAGCAATTTACAGACTAACTCCACCCCACTGATACCCTGGACAAAGTCACAGCTCCACTCACAAGCTGGTTTACTCATCAAATGAAGAAGTGAATATGAAGCTATTTTCCTCTAAAGTAGATAATCAAACAGCATACTCGTACCATCAAAGGCCCTACCCTAGCCATGCTGAAAGGGTATCATCCCTATCCACTTCTCCAAAAGGCTGTGCTCAGAGACAGCTCCTTGATTCAGTCACACATCTGCCCATTATACCCACTCTTAGTGGCATGCAACTTTTTGCATCATCCCAGGCTGTTCTCTGAATGTTGAATAACTAAATATATACATAGAGATAAGAGTTGTCAAAAAGGCAGAGCTCTTCATAGATCAACTGATCTGCTGATGAAAGATCACATTTATGCCACTGTCTTCTTAGCTCTGAGCAAAGCTCCAGGACAGCCTGGGTGCACACAGCCAACCTGCATCCAAATGTCACACATCTGCCCTTACACAGCAGACCCAAGCATTATACCCATATGACAGTGGAGATAGCTGGCAAGGGGAACACCAGTGGAGTGAGAGTTCTGGGGTGGGGAAAAGCAAATTTCACCCAAAATTTTATTGTGCTGTGAAATGCATTTATAGAGTTCTTAATCATTAGCATCTGCAGAATCAGGCCTTTTTGTTTTCAGACATGTCTCAATGTAGAATTCCACTGGGAAATGGGACAGGGAAAGCTGCCAGCAAGGTGGTTGCTCAGCCTTGTTGGGAATTCCCCTGGGCAGAGTGCTCTTCCATATCCCTAGATGCTTTTCTTGCCTGCTCCCTTCTGTTGGCCTGGCTTTTCTTGATCACTACAGCTAGCTGCCCTAGAAGACGAAGGTTGGAAAACATCTGCTCATTACTCCTGTGTTAAATTGTTCATTCAGTTAAGGTCCATCTCTGGCTCACCAGTAATTCTGGAGATAGATGCTCCTTCAGAGGCAACTAAGCTATAGCCCAAAACAACCCTGAAGGACACACTCACATCACACAAGCTGAGCTGCTGTTCCACATTACACTTTTTGTGCATCCCCAGCTCTGCTCCCTACCGTCCATCCCATCCTAGTGTTTTTGCCAGCTTTTTCAGCTGACAGAGCTCAGTAGCCCAGAGAAAAAAAATAATTAGGAAAAAGAAAGTAGGTGGTTGTCTTCTAGGGGTAATGAGCCAAATAAATCCATGGAAGAAAGGGCCAGGCTCAAAATGAAGGAGGTGAGGGGAATACGAGCACCCTTTTCAAAGGCAGCAGACTGTTAGAGCAGTTCAGCTGTGCAAAGAAATGTAACCTGAGGAGTTCCTTAAAATCCCAGTGTAGAAGGAATACTCACCCTCAGGGGGTGCTGGATGACCTTGCAGAGACTGCTTGCTGAAGTGTTCATTTCTCCTTTGGACCCTCTTTCTATATCTTGTTATGAGAGGCACCTCAAGGTCTATCAAAAGCACCAGAGGCAGTGGAGAGTTGGAGGGTGAAGTATCAGCATGGAAAATTCACTGAGGCAGGGTGATTGCAGGAAAAGAAAGTGTAAGAACTTGATGCAATCAACTGTGATTTGCAGTGATACCTGAAGTTGAGCTGCCTGAACTGTCAGTCCACACAGCATCACGTGAATCCTGGTATATATTTTTTTGCATTTATTACTGCTAATTCATGAAGCAGCTAATCCACTAGGATTAGCCCAATGAGTTAGAGTTAACTATATCAGCCTATAAACTCCTACGGTGTCATATGCTGAAAGGAAAGGAAATGAATCATCCAGAAGTAGTATGTGTGTGAGGTGAAACTCCACAAGGTAACCCTAACAGAAACAATTCCAAAGTTTCCTCCAAACACCTTCCTGCATGAGTTAAAGTCTGCCTGCTTTGAATGTATAAGTGCTCTGGAAACTCATCACAACACTATTTGACAGCAACACCTGCAGCAGTAAAGCCTTGCATTGGGGTCAGTGGCATGAGCAGCTCCTGACTCAGGGCTGAGTCACATGAACATGCAGGAGAGAACCTGCCTCCATTCTCGTATGCGGATCAGGAAATAAGTGCTGCATGTTGACCTACCTGCAACACTACCACTTCACAGCCCTATGCCTTATCCTATTACATTCACAAGCTTCTCCTATGCCCAGGCCAGAAGTTCTGATCCTGTTTTGGATGGACTCCCTCACTTTGTGCTCTTCAGAGAGTTACAAGGACCAGAAACCAAGTGCCAGGCCTGCCTGATGTTCCTCAGAGCTGTTAACTGTCAACATCATCTTGGCATGGGGTGGGCAAGGGCAGGAATCTGGCTTCTAGCTGCCAAACGCCAACCTGCATACCACAGGTGCAATAGTTGCACTTAGGTTATAGCTTAGTGAATGATTAATATACCTTTAGGAAACTAATTCTAGGCAGCTACTCACTCAGTATATGACTTTAATGAATCCTGTTTTGGTGTTGTATGTAAAATGCCAGGAATCTGATTTCCCAACTAACTTTTTGGATTACACACCTATAGCCCAGAGAAAGGAGACTATACAGCAGCCACACCTCTGAGAAGGCAATGCCATGAGTGAAGGTCTTTTGTAGCTAACCTGGAGATGTTTAAGGCCTTTGAAGATTCAGTCTGAAGATGTAGTCCCTTGGTACCAAAAACAGCATGACAGTGCCTCTGTTTTCCAGGCCTGTGCATCTCTTCATAGCTGTTTTGCCTGCACATGTCTACAGTTCCTTATGCAATACTCTCAAAAATTTTATATTACTCATAAGGTTGCTGTTATTGTCTGCCTTTGCTTTATAAATAGCATTTAATAACATAAACAGTACTTAAGTAGCACTTTCAACCATGGAAACATGGGCACAAAATGATAAAACAGATTTTGTTCTGTGTCCTGTAGCCACAGTTGAGAATGTCTCAAGCCAATTAATTACAACATTGCTATTTCCTGAAACAGCAGCAGGGAACACGTATCTTTTAAAAGATGTGATAGAAACTACCCAGCAAGGCAAAAGCAAATACACCACATGAATTTGTACTGCAAGAGAAATGCTATTGCAGCCAGTGTGCAGTTTCTGCCACGAGAAGACCCCCTGCTTTCTTGTTACCTGCTTGTAGCTGTCAGTGATAGCAGTGTACTACTGCAAGTTTGGCTGCAGCTGCCATCCCAGGATTTTCCATGGTTTCCACCCCTGCGTGGTCAACACCTGCGAAATACAGTTCTGGGGCTGTGTGGAGATACTGTGTAAAGCTTATTTTTGTTACTCTGTATTATTAGCAAAAGTAATTATTGTAGTTATTTCTCCAAAAGCATGAAGTCATGAAAACAATTTAAATGTTTAAAGAAAAATCAGCTTAGGCAATGTCTTATATATTTTATATGACTGTAATTTCCATGTTTCTGGCATTCAAATGGGCCATTCAAATGACTTTCTTTACTTCCTAAAAAGAGTAGAATCACAGAGTCATAGGACTGCTTGTGTTGGAAAGGTCCTTAAAGATCATCCAGTTCCAACCACTCACCATGGGCAGAGTTACCGACCACTAGATTAGGGTTTAAAAAGTTTTTTAAAAAATGATATGTCAGACAAGAACACAGAAAATTATGAGTTGAATAGGACTAAGCTAAAGCTAGTCTCAAGCAAAGAATCATTAACAACGATTAATTTGTAAACAAACTTCCTTAAGAAATTTTCTTATCATAGAATCATAGAATCACAAGGTTGGAAAGGACCTACAAGATCATCTAGACCAACCTTCCTCCCATTACCACTGCTACCACAAACTAAACCATATCTCGTAGCTCCTCATCCAGACGCCGCTTGAACGCTGCCAGGGACGGTGACTCCACCACCTTCCTGGGCAGGCCATTCCAGTGTCTGACCACTCTCACTGAGTAGGTGTGTATGTGTCTATATGGCTCAATCTCTACACAGAACAGCTACTAAGAAGTTGTACCAAAACCAAGTAGACTTTATTTTCCACATTGTTGTTAACATTTTTTTTTTTTTTTTTCCCAAATCCAATCTATTCAAAATAGTGGTGAGAAACTT